TTTCAGCTTTAAAATAATACAAAATACATTTTAATTGGTGTGATAATCATTTAAATAACGTGATTTTAAAAATTGTCTTTTTTTTTGAATGAAAACTAGAACCGAATTTTATATTTAATTGCATCACGTTACTTAAAAAAATATAACCGTAAGTATATCAAAAACGATACCTTTGCCCTATGATAATGGGATGACGACGAATTTGGAAAAAATGTAAATCATTTCATTCAACTGAAAAATGTCTTTTTTTTTCATGGTATTTGAAGAATAAGGTCTTTTCAAAGGTCATTTGTGAACACTGGTCCCGAGTATGTGGCGTGAAACAGAAAACATGACACCTTCGAATGTTGCTCTAAACATGAGCCACAACACCGACAGTTCATAGTTTAAGTGTGTGTCATGGAATATGACACCTATATTTAAGCCAGCAAAAAAACGAACCCATCACAACACTACCCATAGTTTTTCAATAAAAGTAAGCGAGAATAATTGATGATTGATTAAATAAATACATTAAAGAAGAAAAAAAATGTTGCTTTTATTCATGATTCACTGTATATGGTACATTGAATTTTAGTTTCTGTTAAATTTGAAAGGGTATTTTTAATAAAAGGATTGATTTTCCTCTTTTATGATGAAAGGTGAATTCAGATGAAAACTAAAAAAATGTCTACTAACTATAAATTTCATTTCATCTTGATCAGCAGACTGCATTCTGAACACGATTATCAGCTCTCCCAAAAGCTTCATTGGCGGGAACAATAACTTCTTTGGCTTCCTCCTGAGGACTCGTACGAAGTCTGAAGCACAAGCCGACCAAGGCAACGAATACAGCGATTGCTATCAAAATTATGGGGAGTACAAAGTCATTTGGTTCACCGATTGGGTCTCTTCGCACTAGAGGTATTGCTGAAACAAAATTGAATAAAGTAGTAAGAAGAGTTATCAAAATAAAATGTTGTCGCATCTTTGGTTTGAGAGTGGGTTGATACCAAATGCGAGAATAAAATGTATCAATTTATCATCATTTCATGTGGCAAATTTCCATCGAATTCTACCAAATAAAATGAACCTATCATGGAAATTTGTTTCTTTTTCGGATATGGAGTATGTGCTAAAAGGGGGTAGCACAAGTTGAAATAGCCAGATGTTATTTTTTTTTTTAGTTAGATAATTGAGAAATATACCCCGTTTACTAATTGTTCATCCGTGATATTACATATTGATATTTTCCCTGATTTACTTTCGGAATCTGATTTTTTTGGAGGGGGTATCATTATTACGTAATACCGGGACATATCATCCAAAGTATCAATGTATACTATCATGGGTGTTAGTCTCCGGGATATATATTAGTTATTTACCGCTCAATCGCCGATTGAGCGGTAAATAACATTCAGATTACTGGAATCCGAGGCGCGTAAATGACTTAGGATATATATATTGAATCAAGAAGAAACCACGTTCAGCATCGATTATCAACCAAAATTCACATACGAAAAACTAAAGAACCTGAGTCAAATATACAGGGGAGAAAACCCTGCTTGTAGTATAACCTATGACTTACAGAATGAGTCCCAATGTGTAGCACAGTATGTGTTGTCATGGAAAACGTTGATCTGTTTTCATTTGATTTTATCACATAAAATTTATTTTTACTATTTTATTTTTTTGTAATACGATAAAATAATCAAGTCAGCAATTTATTGGAATGCATTGATCATTAATCTTAATCTTTATTCAAATCATAGATTTCATCTTTTTTTATTACTGTCAATAACAATTTATTTTTTCAGACATCACATATGTGATATATAAACATCGAAGACTTTCTTCCCACCAACATCTCAAAAATACATTCGTTAGATCCTTTAAAAAGCAAATAATTGATTTAGACCTTTGTTACCTCTTAACTCTTTTTAAATGTCTGATCAATTTTCAACAACTTAATAATACTTTTTTAAATAGTAATATATATATATATATATATATATATATATGTTCTATTGATATATCGATAAATAAGATAAGAGTAAGTGTTCGAAGGTAAGTAGTTGTTTGCTTTTAATTGGCACTAGAAGAAGAAAACTATAAAGAGATGGTGACTTCCAAGGTAAGTAGTTTGTTGTTTATTTTATTGCAATTTATTTATTATTGGGACACAAATATTCATCTCCCTAGGAAAAGCAATATCTATAATAAATATTGTAAATTTGTTACTAGATGTTTGGGATTTTAAAAAAAAATCCTTCTACACAAAACTACATATATATATATATTGATTGGGGAAAATAAATTCAAAATAAAGTAAAAAAAAGACCATTCTCTGATCCCCAACTTTGTATTGTGATTCTCAAGAATCCAAAGAATGTATTAATTTGAATAAAAATAATATTACATTTAATTTATTTTTATACTTTTTTGAATTTTTTTAAAAAAAAAAATCAAAAAGAAAAAATTCTAATATTATTTTATTTATTATCTGAGTCAATTTTCTAAATTATGGTTTTATGGAAGTTTCATTAATTATTATTTTAAATATTACAATCAATTTTAGGATTTGTATCAGATGTAAACTTGCTACACAAATTAAGATTATATTTTGTGATTAAACTTGGAGAAATAATTATTTTTGACATTGGATTATATTGTTTAATTAATTAATAATTCCTTTAGTTTTAGGGTGATCGTGATATATGACAAAATATTTTTAATATTTATTTCTTATTTTTTTTATTTCTTTAATAATGAAAATAAAAATAAATAAAAATATTTAAATATTACATCAAACCAATTTTATTCGGAAAGAAAAACCATTTATTGATAATTATTAATGATATAATCCCATGATATAATCCCAAAATCCCAAAATATATTTAAAAAATACAAAATACAGAATAATAAATTTAAATGTGGTTTACAGAATGAATTAGTAAATAAAAGTATATTATTATTATTATTGTTATTGAACCTTCTACCAAAGGTCACATTTTTCTATAGGATTCATTTTTGTTCCAACTTTACAATTAAAGGTTTCTGCAAAATGTTTTGAATTACGTAAAACTCCATTAACTCGCCATACTGGTGGTGAATGAGGATCAGTACGAACCTAAAAAATCAAAGTGATATATAAAGTTTCATATTAGAACAAATATATATGTGTGTGTATATATATGTATAAAATAATGATGATAATCATAATACTAACTCTTTCAACAGCAGTTTCAGGCCTAGTCTTTGAACACCAAGAATGACCAAATGAAATATAAAATAATTGCTCTCTTGTTACATTTAGACCAGGTAGAAGTTCATTGTTATATAATTTTGAGTCAGAATCATTACTAAATCTAGTAAACCATGCTTGAAATGCTCCTCTTAATCTAAAAATAAATAAATAAAAAAATAAAAAATTATCATTATTACTATTAATTAGTGCATCGAATTATAAAAATGAACTAAAAATTAATTATCTATTTACCCTCCGTTATCAGCCAGATTTTCGCCTAAAGTTAAATGACCATTTAAATTTGTAGGATTTCCGTTAGGATCATTTACTGTAAAATTTGAATACTGATGAATAAAACATTCCGATTTATTGTTGAATGCTTTAACAGTTTCATTAGACCACCACTAAAATTTTATTAATTAATAAGAATTTCAATAATCAGAATTTTATTTCAAGTTATTTAAATTTTATTCGATAAATAATAATTATACAAGACATACTTGAGTTAAACGTCCACTTGCATCATACTGTCGTCCACTATTATCAAATGCATGCTAAAAATAAAAATAAAAATAATCGGTAATAATTAATAAAATGATAATATATATTTATAAAATTTATTCTTAATATATTCTATTATAAATATACAAACCGTAAGTTCATGTCCAATAACCATACCGATAGCACCGAAATTTATATATTCTGGTGCATTTGAACTGAAAAATGGAGATTGAAGGATTCCTAATAACAAAAGGATAATTTTATTAAAAATATTTCATTATTTTAATATTCTTAAAATTAATAAAATCATTAAGAATATTAATATTCGGTAAATACCAGCTGGAAACACAATTTCATTTGAAGTAGGATTCTAAGAAGAAAATATATAATTATCATTAATTATAATTAATTTTTATTATTAATTATAATTATATTAATTATATGATCTCAATGAATACAATAAATATTAAATGTTAGTTCTTACATAATAAGCATTAACGGTTTGAGGTTCCATATACCATTTTCCATGATCAACTGGTTTATCAACATTCCGCCAAATTCTTTCAGATTGCCAAATTTCAACATTCTTTATATTTTCAAAGAATTCATCTCGATTAATTGTAATTCTTTCGTAATATTCTGCGATTGACTTCGGTGACATGATATTAGGGGATTTGGTTGGATATCCGATTTTCTGAATAATTTTTTTAACTTTGTGAATGGCCTTTTCCCTTGTCTGAGGATCAAGCCAATCAATTTCTGGCATACGATTTATAAATGCTGTTTTAATTCCTTCAATCATTTGGTCCGCGATTTCTTTACTTTGACCTATAATAAATGTTATAAATTTTACAAATTAATTATAATATATAATTAAAATAATTGTAAATATATAATAAAATTATTGATAAAATTATAATATAAAATCAAAATTGATTTAACTTACCACCAAAAGCTCTTAACACAAAGAATCTTCCGGCCATATGTCCTAAAGCAGAATCAACAGCACGAAGACATACTTGCCACCTTTTTGGTTTTACAGATTCATCGATACCTCGAAGTTTAGACATTAATCTTCTTAAAGGAGCTCTAAAACTTTCATCCAAGAATTCTGAATATCCAAGAATAGCTTGCCAAATGAGATAAGCTTGTAAGACTGGGGTGGGAGTTTGATTCACCAGTATTGAAAGATTCTTAAAATATTCATTTGAATGTAAAATTATTTTGGTAGGATCTTTAGATGTTGGTGGTAAATGAGAACTAATGTAATGTGACCATATGAATGTAGGACTAAGTCGGCTAAGTGATACTAATGTTTGATTATTATATGTTGCTTCAGGATCAGAAGATTCATCACTAAATGTATTAATAATAATAATAATATTTTATTAATATTTTTAGTATTATTTAGTAACATATACTGTATATGTATATAAAATAGATTCAGTAAATATTTTATAATATTAAATTTAATGCTTACGCGGATAAAGATATTTTTGCCAATTCTTTTTCAAATTCTACAACTGTATATGCAACTTTCATCCAATAAGAATGCCAGAGTCTTTTCTCTTCATCATCCATTATTTCTTCAACCACATCTCCATCATCATCAGTTGATGAAGTCTTGTTACTATTGGCTTTTTCGAATAATTCTGCAATGACTCCTTGATAAATGTCTAAAATATTTTCTTCATTATAATATTCTTTAGAAGGAAGACCAAGTCCGGACTGTTGTAAATGTAAAGCATTGATTTCTGGATTTTTGGCATCAGCATTGGTATAAAATAAGAATAATGGTGTCACTCCAATAGTCGATAGATGAGATAGTGCATTCGTCAAATTATAACTATCAAGTTGTGGACTATTATTATCTTGATCTCTCTCAATCTTTTGTCTTTTTTCTTCCCTCTTAATTGGATTAAAACCAAAATAAGAATAATCTTGATCTACTGGAAAATCTTCTATAATTTTCGTCAATATCGAAAGCAAAGGTTTTCGACCAAGTTTATTAATTCTAGTTTCATTCATACACGATTCATAAAAATCTTGGAGTTTATAAAAGTTTTGTTTATCAATTATTTCTTCAGGTGGTGGAAGATCTTGTTCATCGGATGGTACAAATTCACCTTCAAGAATTTCTTTTAAAATTATCTAACAAAAATAAAAGAATAATAATAATTCAAAAAATAAAATTCAAAAAAAATAAAATTCAAATTTTTAAAAATAATTAATAATTATGTAAAATGGAATAAAGCATTTACTTGATTATTTTCGTATAAAGTATCAAAATAACCAAATCGTCCCTTTTCGTCAGGAATGATATGACTTTTTATCCATCCACCACCTTTATTGCATTGAAAAAATTGGATATTCAAATTTAATTTAATATTAAGATTAATTAAGTTATCTGTGGATGATCAATAATTACTTACAACTATATTGGAAAAAATCATCACAAGGATCAACATTTAAATCCATATCAGATATTAACTGAGCTGATATTAAAACACAATCAGATGTTAAACAAGGTCCCTATTATCAAAATAAAAAAATAATAATAATTATAATACATTTTTACACATATTAAATATACAAAAATTATTACGCAGTAAAGAAATATATATTACATTTGTTACATTTTTAAAAGGTTCGTCAGGAGGTAAAATTTCATGATGTTTATTAGTCTTTCCACTATATAAACCAGCGAAAATACTCATAAGTACTAAAAGTATTAGACAAGTAAAAGCCAGTAATACTTCTAATCTTGTAAATTTTCCATGACGTAAAGGAAGGCAACCGGAATGATCTCGAGGAGCTTCAAAGGTACGAGGAACACGTTCTGGAAGGCTAGTACTTCCATTATTATTATTATTATTAGCACCAAGTAAACTTTCTTCGTCTTCTCGATCGTTTGGTATACGATTATCAGTTAATAAAGGTGCGTCCTCTTGAGACGGTGAACGACTCATAATTTTGAATTTTTTATATTATTATTGAACGAAAGAATTTAAATTTTTTATAATGCATATGCACAAAACTAAATATAGATTTTTATAGATTATATATATATTAAACAAGTTTTTACCAAATTAGGTTCGGCTCAAAAATTACAAACAAGTTGAAAAAAATTATTATTTACTAAAATAAGTAAAAATAAGTAAAGAATTACGTATTTGATTTTATTATAAGGTAAGTGCCATTTGTTGAAAATAAAAGTTAAATAAAAAATCTAAACTTTCTTAACTTTCTTAAAAAAAAAAAATAATTCATAGATAACGTTTTTTGTTTTTTCTTTTTTTCCTATGTTACAAATTTATTTCTTTTACAATAAATCTCGTTAAATTTATATAAAACTTGACATAATTTGTGCTACTGGGATGATCAGAGTATGTTGTCCACCCTTTATGATTATAATATGACCTGATTTGTCTTCTCGTATCTCTAAGTGATTATTTTGAAACTACATAAACTTTCTACATTCATGTCACGATATAGATCATTTTTATAAAATATTTAAATGAATTATTACTGCATCTTTATAAAATGACAAAGTATATATGAGAGAGAAAAACACATTTATTGTTTTTGTGATTCTACAATTGGTTCTACAAAATTACATATACAGGTGAAGTGAGACACAACCCTTATTCCAAAAAGTTCCGCAGTCTTGCAGTCTTGGCTTTCCTTCAAGCATATATAGATCGTTTCTCTTCAAACCAAGTATGGCATAATACAATTCATCAAAAAATATAAAAAATATTTATGTTTATTGTAAATATAACTAATACAATATTAGTTCAAAATTGCTAACAAATATCTTCAACCTGTGTGTTAAGAAAAATAAAAATGTATGATGACAGGGGTCCTATGGAACGGTGTGGAGTCCGGTTGACCAGATGAGTGATGTACTACTTAAAAAATCGAGTTGAGTAATGTGTCCCGAATTTGATCGTATACTGTATCATAATATATTACTTCACATCTCATCTTTGTTAATATATTATTTTAATTAACGTAGTGTACGTTTTTTGTAATTTTACTCAATTGTACATTTAACGATAATAAAATTATAAAATCATGTCGCGTCTATACATGTTCCCAAAGTTAAAAATCCAAACCCGACCCTGGTTAATTTAAAATGACCCTCGAAATTTAATTCCGAAATTCAAAATTAACCCCGAAATTATTATAAAAGACGAAATTATTTACGGGGGATGAAGTTTAGTGTAACCCCAGTCGAAATTATCATTAATAGTTGTGAAACTCCAAAATTATAGATCTTTTTTTTAAAAAAAATTACTTAGGGATTGTTGCGAAATGGCGTGACCTTTCTTTTTTTTATTATTTTTTTCAATAAATATATTTACTTACTTTTTTACCTCTTCTTAATTTACCTTTCCTCAGAATTGTGCTCTTGGGCTTGTGAAATAACACAGGTGATCGCAAAACAGTGTTACTAGTTAACCTTTTGAACTAATTTTGTTTTCCAAAAGGCAATTTATAACTAGTAACTTGTAAACAGTTACTTTAGTTTACAAATTGAAGAAGATAATTTAAAATTAATAAAAAGATAATTTGAGGTTAAAACTAAAACTAATCAAAGGACTTAAGAATTTATGATCATGGGAATTAAGTTATTAATTAATGGTTAAATTTTAAAGGACAATTTAAGAAATTAGCTAAATATATTTGTCAATGATTTATAGAGTAATAACAGAAGTTTATTGATCAGAATTTATATTTGAGAAATATAAATTAGTAGAAAAGTAACAGAATTTTAATATAGAGAATATAAGTTTATTACAAAGAAAATCAATAATCTAGTTACTGATCAATTTACTAATCAATTTAGTGGTCAACTAATTGACCAACTTAGTGACTAACTGATTGGCACACTTACTGGTCAAGATTTTAACCAATTTATTGACTTACTTATTGATCAAATCAAATAATATAAAAAAAGTGAATTTTCTCTTTACCCCAAGTTAGTTCTAAAATAGTGAAATTTAAAAAGTAATCTCAACTGTAATTAATTCTGTAATTGAATTAATATTTTTATAATTTTAAAGTAACTGGACCACTATGATCTACATTATTGATTCATATTATACTAATAAATACATCAGGAAATTTAATTAGGCGTAGATTTACAGAAATATCACATGACTTCTGGAAATTTACGTCTGAAAATTTTAATTTTTTAACTTTGGCCGAGATTTAAGTGACAGGGAGCGATTTTCTACTAAGATATTTCTAAGATAGATCGAAAGCCCTGGTTTTTGGCTACAA